GCAATAGAATACTAAACCTCACAAAAACAAGCTTACCTAGATTTGAAACTGCTTCACTGATTAAGTTTGTTGAATCTCCAGAGCGTCTGTAACAGAAGGAGACCTTGGATTAGGTCTAAAAGTCGTTTCTCAAAGCCACACACTGAACAGTTAAAGAGAAGCATCAGCCCGTCTTTACCCGACAGAAGTGGAAGATGCTTCAGTTGTTGAAGGCTGGCTCTCCTCTGGTTTGTCGTCTGTAGAAGATTGCTCTGCTGGTTTGTCTGAAGTGGATGATGAATCAGACTGTGCAGCTGGAGCTGTAGTGCTGGGAGCAGGCACTGCTGTTGAACGCTGTGAGGCAGCGGGGGCTTTTTTAGGCTGCAAAACAAATTTGTAGTTTTTTTTTTTTTTCTCTTTTAGTTGTAATCAAAATGGTAAATTTGGGCTGTATTTTACTTAAGGCTGCTCTCTGCTGGATCAGCTGTCACATCACATGGAATTTGGGACTGATTCCTTAGGAAGCTCAGTGGGCTGCTATGGGTCAGACAGTGTGAGCAACAAAAAGACAGCCTCAGGAAATATCCAGCCAAAGACAAGGATTTGCTCACTGAACGATTGCTTGGATATAAAAAGTTCTAAGGTTGTAGCCGATTATGTGACTATGTGAATCCTTAGAAGGCCCAAAACTTCACTATTGATGTAGGTATTTGGGACAGCCCTCATTTTTTAATACCATAAACCTATAGCTTCTAGATACATAAGCAACAATTTTGGCACTGCAGTCGCTCCTCTCTCATAATCAGCATTTTACCTCATGGATCTTAAACTTGGAACTACACCATTCTCCAAAGTATAAAACTGTAAAAGCACCTGCTCATACCCAAAACAACAACAACAACAACATGTTTTAAATACACAAAGACATTGCCTTCATTTTCTGTGGCTTACAACTCAGCCTCAAACATGAATCAGAGCCCAAGTAATTGTGCTACTTTTACATTACTCATCATTAGGAGAAACTGATTTTCATTACCTTTGTTGGGCCTACTTTTGCTCTGGACTGTGCAATCTATTTCAGTTGTGGCGGCTGTATTCCTCAGGACTCCAGTGTGAAGTTTGTGAAGTGATGTAGAAGAGGGGGTTCTGATATTTTGGGCAATATTTGGCTTCTTATTATCAGTATTTTTTCTAGACTACTCTGCACTGCTGAGCAAATAAGATTAGAGGCCTACAGACACACAGTGTAAACTGCACATTCTCTGCGAAACAGGGAGCACAGGAGTGGAGAGAGAAAGAGTACAGTAGCTCACATGAAAGTGCAGATAAAAGAGCCAATTAACAAATTAAAACTTTTCGTTTTTGTTTTATGTTTTACTGCACTTTATTATTTAATCTATTTTAAGTTTGGTCGGAGAGTTTGCAAACTTATTGAAGGCTACAATCAGCCTATTTCTTATAGACACATTTTAACAGGCAGGGGACCATTGTGTAGCACAATAGAGTTAAAAAACAAACAAAAAACA